GGATAAATCTACCTACTTTTTTCTTTTCAAGCACTTTGTTTTGTTTTCTTGATTTTATTTGAATTATTTCCTGCCCTTTCTCTCTCTAACCTTCCTGCATGCTGCATGTTTTCTCCGTATTCCAGAAAAAACTGTTTCCTAGACTTCCTACTTTCTAACTATCAGCCAAAGGAATCTTCACATGCGCTCCAGCAGTAATGAGTTAAAATCACCGGAGCCCAGATTAACTTAGATGAGGCAAAGCACCTCAGAAAAGTACAGAATACCAGAGAATATGCGCTGATATGAACGATCGCAGGTGAATTATTTTGTTTTGGTGGAGCGATTTTGTGAATGTTGCAGCGGCCGTGTGGAGGATGCAGCTGGAGTATTTGAGCCGTTACCGCTGCACCCTCTCTGCCCGCAAAGCTGAGTCCATAAATGACGTCATATATGCAGATACTGGATTTTTCTTCGGGTTTCCCGCAATTTGAATTTTTAAGAAACGCATCTTGATTCTGGGTTTAAAATGCATTGTAATTACTGCGTTACTGACAATTGTACCGAGTAAATATTACCATTTTTTCCCCTGTAATGCCTTACATTACCATATTACAACAAAAAGCAATGCATTACAGTAATTAATTACTTCTGTACCGCATTACTCCCAACACTGCTGATAGAATGCCGGTGGCGTGGACCTCTGGGTATTGGAGTCCGTAGCTCTGATCCGAATTTGGACTCGTCTGCTCTGAGATACCCTCGAGGTGACGGCAGTAATCTGGCGGATATACTTTGTTTCTGATGAACTTGCAAAGGCCTTGTATGGAACTCAAAAGTATTCAAAATTCAATAAGTAAATAAGAAATTATGAAATAAATATCTACATGAAAAAATAGTAGACAGTCATGTAATCTGACAATGAAATGATGAAATAACAGAACGTTATGTAAAATCTAAGCTCAATATTATGAAATATTTTTCATTCTTCATTTAAAATGTTTTTATTAATATAAAGTTTTTGCCAAAAGTAATTTTTTCATAATAATCCAAAATAATATTGAGCCATTTTTATTTAATTAATTCGGTTTTTATTACATAACGTCTTTTTAACAAAGACAGCTTTTATTTCATAATAGCGTTTTTTCCCATGGCTGATTTATTTCATAATGACACTTCACAGCAGAATGTCTCAGTCCATCAGTCATGACTAAAGGGGTGGAGCCACTGGCTGCTAATTCAGTCAGACAAAAGCAATCACTCACAAAGTATGGACACGGTGCTCATGTGTCTGAATCCACGGGCAGGATGCTTATGAGTACGGGTCCTCGCCGGTCTAGCAAGGTGCTAAGACTGGAACCCAGCGGCTCTGAATTCGGACAGTCTAGCCGTCACCTCTACGGTGGCCCGTAGGTCCCGTCACAGCCGTGGCGGCAGCTACATGCAAAGGAAAAATGCTAAAGCTAGCGAAAATCAAGCAGGAATATTAAGGAGCTACAGCAGCTTCACGTCCATCAGCAGCGTTTGTTCACAACCGTTTTCAGGTAAAGTAACTTTGTTTATTCTAGAAGCTTTCAGGACTTACATGACTTACGGGGGGGGGGGGGGGGGGGGGGGGGAGTGCTGTCATTAAACTCATTCACTGCCAGCTGTTTCCTGATCGCTAAAGCCCTTCACTGCCAGCGTTTCTCACCGTTTTTACTGTTTTTTTCAGAGTCACAGAACGTTGCGTGCTAGGATGATGTCGACGCCAAAACAACCAAAACAAAGTGGAGACTCACCTCTTACATCAGGAAGAATCGCGTTTCGAGCGTTATCCGTTCTTTCATAATCCGTTGTTGAATTGTGATCGGCAGAAGCTTTTCCGGTTCGCGCCTCACTTTTTTTTTACAGCAGCGGCCCAAAACGATCTCCTAACACATGGATGTTCTGCTTCCTGATCACGTGACATGTGACGTATGCAGATGAAGATCGGCTTTAGAGCTGAGATGTTTGTTCTCACGGTGCGGGGGCTCGTCCGACGCCCACACAGTAAAAAAAAATCTAAATTATGATTTTAGTCGTCATTGGCAGTGAATGAGTTAACTGCTTGGTCAAACATGTTAGTGGAGCTTCTGGCTGGATAAGAAACTTGAGCGGGTGCCCGTCTCCTGTCTCCTGATGAGAATAGCAGGTGGCTGCTTGTTCACGTCTCCCGGGGCAGCCGGGCCGACCCTGAAGCAAGGCTGCAGTCATGCTGAATCCCTGAGAGAGACCACAGAAACACTGCAACTCTTGTTGTTGACGCTGCTTCACTCGCTCATCTGCATTTTTATCACTGAAGATGCCCGGAAAACTCTGTTGGCTTTGGGTTAGCATGTAGCTAATGTCCCGCTGATCTCTGGCTCCCAGAGAAGGGACTATCAACAGCGGTGGACATGCAAATCATTCACAGCGGTGGACCATGGAAGCCCGATATCCTCGGTCAGCTTACCTAATTAAAATTTCATTACTAGGAAGGCTGGAGGTGCGTTCACTTTGGTGTAGCTCTACCGTGTTTTTCTTGCTGAAAACAGTTCGCTTTAGGGTAGCATATAGCTAGTGTCCTGCTAATCTCCGACCATGGAGCAAGAGCTGATGTAGCATGACTACAGCCTCGCACGGAAGCCAGTCTGCTGAGTGGGTGGGATGCTTTACAACACAATCAGTCATTCACTCATTCACACGCTGGTGGGGATGAGCTACATTGTAGCCACAGCTGCACTGGGACGCACTGACAGAGGAGAGCCTGCTGTACACAGGCACCACCAGTATGCAGCAGCCAAGGGAGGTTAAGTGTCTTGCCCAAAGACACAACGACAGTGACCGTTGCCAAGGATTAGAGGTTTTCTAGGTTTGTACTGATGTACAGGTCCGCAGCGGCGGGAGGCAGTGTGCAAGCTGTGGAGCCTGGAGGAACGGATGAATTAAACAAAATCAAATAAAGAATTTGGAAATAGATTGGATGGGTGCAGACTGGTGCAGGACAAGTATTGCTGGTTTTTATTCTTGTTGTTAGGTACCTGTTGGAGTCGAAGCGTCCCCCAGCAACCTAAAGATAAACATTTTTTCTATTTGGGGATAATTAGTGTGGAAAAAGCCACAGTTTATCCCTGTGCTCATGCCAGCAGCCAATCACAGTGGGCGTGTCCTGGTGCAGCCCGTTAGCAGCACTACTGGAAACATCTGTCTAGGGGGAGATTAGTCATTCAAGTGTTGGTGATGTGGATCCCAGGTGGAGCCAGGACATGCTGCAGCATGGTTAAGTGGATCCATCCTAACACTGACCCATCAGAGGGGTTGCATGTGAGCAGCATGGCCTGGAGGCCTGAGATCAAAATCATTAAACGTGTTTAGAGTTTCAGGCTCGCCCGTGATATACGGGTGTTTATTCATCATCAGGATTTATTTTCCCTGAGTCAACCAGATGTGAAGGTTTGAGTGTGTGTGTGTGTGTGTGTGTGTGTGTGTGTGTGTGTGTGTGTGTGTATGTGCGTGTGTGTGTGCGTGTGTGTGTGTGTATGTGTATGTGTGTGTGTGTGTGTGTATGTGTGTGTGCGTGTGCGTGCATGTATGTGTGAGTGCGCGTGCATGTATGTGTGTGGGTGTGCGTGTGTGTATGTGTGAGTGTGCATGTGCGTGCATCTATGCGTGTGTGTGTGTGTGTGGGGGGGGGGGGGGTGACTCAGAGAGGAAGCATTTGAATGCAAATTACAGCAATCAGTCTCTAAGAGGTTTAAAGTGCCCAGAATTGCCTCCATGTGGTTGCTGATGCTGCGATCTCTGACCACGCTGATGCCCAGGAAAACTTCTCACCCCACCTCTCCTCGACATCGCCAGCTTAGCTGTAGTTTATTCTGAAAGTTGCGGTCTTAGTTTGAAAACACCTGCCACAGAGCAGTATAGCTGGGAGGTTTCATCTCACTTCAGCACTTCAGACAGCTCAGAGCGTTTTTAGACTTCTCCTTCAGAGCTACTGATGGCTGCTTCATTCTCCATCTGATGGACAAAACCACACATGTTTCTTCATTATGGTGTCTAACTGCATGTTTTTAATTAACCTGACCAAATTCAGGTCCAGTGGTCCTCCTCAGTACCAGACTGGAAGGGTTTCATCTAAACTTGTTACCAGGCAGGGGGAGTGATGTGAATATGTGTAACAGGATGTGATGTAAAAAAGATGGATGCCTGTTTCCTGATGGATTAGGGCTTCATCCATAGTTATGAAGGTGTGGATCTGGTTTGTGGGGGTGAAGAAGGAGCGGAGCTGAAATATTTATGATTGTGAGGCCTGGGTCAGGATCTGGACTAAAAGAGCCCGATCCTGGATCCGAGGATCAGAAACGCGTAAGGAGTTGAGCTGCTCCTCTTCCAGGAGTCCACCAAGATGTTTCTGACCAGGAACTTGGAGTAGATCCAATCAAAACTCATCGAAGAGAATAGATATCTTCAGGTCACAACTCCTTGCCCCTGTGGTTCCTCTCAAAACGCTCATGCTTGAAGGAAGTTTACATTTGTAGCGGTCCAGTGGAAGTAGCACCATGTTAGCATTAGGCTAACGACAAAAGCAAAGGAACAGATTGCTGATGGGCTAGCTTCTGTTTACTGAGCTGGTTATAGATCTGAGCTTCTAAATGTATGAAATATGTGTAAGATGTGTTAAAATGTGGCTTCAAACACCTCTCAGTGCTGACTGTAAATAATAAACAACACACATCCGCCTTGATGGTGCAAAATTGGTTTGTTTCTGCTTGTCTAGGTTTGTTATTGTGCCTGCTAATGCCAGACAGCCCCACACAAGTCTGAGTAGAAATGTTGGTTATTAACAGCAGCACTAAAGGTCAGATGGATTAACCTCCTTCAGTCTGAGTGAGTTAGAGCCAAACACACAGAAGAGCTGCTCCTCATCATCAACTGTTTGCCTTTGATGTTTGTTCCTATTTATGAAGCTGATGAGAAATCACCACCTGGTGTCACTAACTCATGTCTCTGTTTCTTTGCAGGCAAAAATATAAAAGTACATCACAGAGGTAAGACACACACACACACACACACACACACACACACACACACACACACACACACACACACACACACACACACACACACACGGTCCAGCAGACAGAGTGTGGAGGAAGCAGCAGACTCTGCTTTGTGGTGTGAACAGGACAGCAGCTGTGTGGGTGCAGTGTGAGGATAAGCGAGTCAGCAGGTGTCTGAGTGGGGAGAGCCTGTAACACATCATCTAATGTTCAGTTAAAATTAATAAGGAGGGGTTATGCACATATTGTGGCGCACCTGGCCATTGGCGCTTCACCTGCCCCTCCCGGCCGGGAAACGCAAACTCCAAGTAGGCAGCAGCAGAGGGGTCCTGCTTGGAGTAACCGGTAACCCCTCGACCTGCACCTTGCTCCCAGTGACTCCATCTCCCCCAGGGGCCCGTCGAGCTGGAGGCGCTCCTAGACTCGGGAGCGGCGGACTGTTTTATGGTCATGGTCCTGCTACCATGACCAGGTCCGGGTTTTCTCAAAGACTCCTACTACCACCCTGCCTCCTCATCGCCCATTTGACCTGGAGATAAAACTCCTGCCTGGAACAGTTCCACCACGGGGCCGTCTGTACTATTTGTCCCCGGCGGAGACCCAGGCCATGGAGACCTATATAACGGAGGCTCTCCAACAGGGGTTTATCCGACCTTCCACCTCGCCCGGTGCTGCAGGGTTTTTCTTCGTGAAGAAGAAGGGGGGGGGGGGGTCTCCGACCCTGCATCGACCATTGAGGATTGAACAAGATCACGGTCCGCGACCGTCACCCCTTGCCCTTGATGACCACCGCCCTGGACGTAGTGTCCCAATCCGCCATCTTCACCAAGTTGGACCTGCGCAATGCCTACAACCTGGTCAGGATAAAACAAAGCGAGGAGTGGAAGACCGCCTTCATCACCCCGACAGGTCATTGGGAGTACTTGGTCATGCCCTTTGGCTTGTGTAACAGCCCTGCGGTTTTCCAACGTCTGATCACTGACGTTCTGAGGGACATGTTGGGCTGATGGGTGTTTGTTTACCTCGACGACATCCTGATCTACTCCCGAACCCTGGAGGAGCCCATCACACACGTATGAGCCGTTCTTTCCCGGCTGCTGGAGAACGGACTCTATTGTAAATTGGAAAAATGTGCTTTCCATCAGGAGACCATCTCCTTCCTGGGGTTCGTCGTCTCATCACAAGGCTTATCAATGGACCCCCAGAAGGTCCAGGCGGTTGCCCAATGGCCGCAGCCGACATCCCTGAAGCAGCTTCAAAGCTTCCTAGGATTTTCGAACTTTTATCGCCGCTTTATTCGCGGTTTCAGCTCCATTGCAGCTCATCTCACTGCCCTAACCAAGACAACCAACCAGACCCGTCCTTTCTGTTTCACCCCTGAGGCCACACAGGCGTTCCGCACCCTGGTGCACCTTTTCACAACTGCTCCCCTCCTAGTCCATCCGGACCCAGCTAAACCTTTCGTCATAGAGGTGGATGCATCTGAGGTGGGGGCAGGGGTGGTCCTATCTCAACGCGGCTCAGACTCCAAGCTTCATCCCTGTGCCTATTTCTCCCATAAATTCACGCCGACCCAGACTAATTACGGAGTGGGGGACAGAGAGCTCCTAGCTATTAAATGGGCACTGGAGGAGTGGCGGCAGTGGCTATTGGGTGCCCCGGAACCGTTTACCATCTGGACAGATCACCAAAATCTCATCCACATCCAGAATGCTCGCCAGCTCAATCCCCGCCAAGCCCGTTGGGCTCTATTCTTCGAGTCTTTCCTCTTCCACCTGGCTTATCGCCCTGGTTCCAAGAATCTGAAGGCGGACGCCCTTTCCCGCCGTCACACCCAGTCTGCACCGGTCAGGGAACCGCCACCCATTCTGCCAGCCCAGAGGTTCGTCGCGGCCCTTCACTGGCCGGTGGAGGACGCTATCCGAGCTGCTCTGCCTGCCGAGCCCGCGCCTGCTGACACGCCCTCCAACCGACTGTATGTACCGTCCTCCTGCCGGTCCGAAGCCTTAGCATGGGGGCATGCCTCTCGCTTGGCTGGTCACCAAGGGGAGACCCGGACCCACCAGTTCCTACGACAGGCTCTGTGGTGGCCCTCCATGGCCAAGGATGTCCAGGAATACGTGGCCGCCTGTCCCACTTGTGCCCATTCCAAGACTCCCAACCAACCCCCGGCTGGAGACCTTCACCCTCTTCCTGTTCCACACTGGCCATGGTCCCACATAGGTCTGGACTTTGTTACGGGGTTGCCTCCCGTCAACCAGCTTGACACCGTCCTAACCGTCGTGGACAGATTTTCCAAAGCGGTCCACCTGGTGGCTCTTCCCGGCCTGCCCACCGCCAAGCAGACGGCTGAGATCCTCTTGGAGCAGGTTGTACGTCTCCATGGCTTCCCTCAAGACATCGTTTCCGACAGGGGGCCCCAGTTCATGTCCAGGTTCTGGAGAGCCTTCTGCCGGCTGGTCGGTGCCAGTAGCAGCCTCTCGTCTGGCTACCACCCCCAAACCAATGGACAGACCGAGAGCGCCAACCAGCAACTCGGTCGGTACCTACGCTGCTTCGCCTCTTCCCAACCAAACACATGGCCCAAACATCTCTTGTGGGCGGATATGTTCCATAACCTCCACGTCTCCTCGGCTACTGGTCACTCCCCGTTCGAGCTCTGCTATGGGTACCAGCCCCCTCTGTTTACTCACCAGGAACCGGAGACTGAAGTCCCTGCGGCACGGACCCTGGTTCGACATTGCCGCCTCGCCTAGATCCGTGCTCGGGCGGCCATCAGGCGAGCCAACACCGAGTACGCTCGCCAGCATAAACGCCGCCATCGGACTGGCCCGACTTTTCAGCCCGGTGATAACATATGGGTGTGTACCCGTAACATGCGTCCGCCCCACTGGCTCCAGGAAGCTCAGCCCACGGTTTCTGGGTCCTTACCCTGTGGAGAGGGTCATTAACCCTGTGGCATATCGCATCCGCCTGCCCAAGCCTCTCAAGTTTCACCCCGTCTTCCACGTCTCCCAGCTGAGGCCGGTACGGACGTCTCCTCTCGCTCCCCCTCCAGACCCCGAACCGCCGCTTCGTGGGGCTGGCGAGGATGGTGTTTTTGCTGTGCACCGCCTGCTGGATGCTCTTCGCCGTGGCAGGGGTTGGCCTGGTGGACTGGGCGGATTACGGGCCGGAGGAACGCTCCTGGGAGCCGCCGAGGGTGATCCTGGACCCCTCTCTCATCACAGATTTCTGGGCTCGCTGCTCTGGGACTTCTGGGGCTGTCCCTCGGGTGGGGGATCCTGTCACGCAGTCTCCCTCACAACCATTGACCTCCTCAAGGGAGGAACCGCAGAGCCGCTCAGACCATCTGAACTCCATTACCCAAAATCCCCAGCGCCAGTCTTCCGGTTCACGTCACCCGCCAAGTCTACTTAAGGAAGTGCCACACAATGCCGAATCACTCAGTCATCGTTCTCACCGAGCCAAACTCAGAGTCCAGGCCAGATCGTCTCAGATCACTCAGCCTATGCAAACCAGATCAGCCAGATCTAAGAGACCTGACAACTCTTAGAAGTCAGCGCTGTGCTGTGGGAGCCGCCATGCTCAGCTGTTTCTTCACACCGCTGCGCACCTGGCTCCTAGATTAAACAGCGTGCTCACTCCACCTGGCGTCAGTTCACTCCACGCTTGGGTTAAGAAGCCACGCCACTTCTCCAACTCTCGCTCAGCTCGAGCCAGCCATTACACTCACATCGTGCTCTAAAAGTATGGGCTTGGGCACATTCAACACATGTCTTAGGACTGTGGTGGGCACTTAGTGCACTGTGATTTATTATTGTGTGACTGTTCAGTTAAACGATGTTGATTATATATTTCTTTCTTTAAGTTGACGCAGTGATAGCTTGATCTTGTTGTATTGTTGTTGTGTCCCTTTTTTTTGTTTTGCTTTTTGCTTAATTTTTTTCTTGTCTCTGCAGGTCTAGAAGCAGACTCGTGTTCATTATTGTTTATTTTTGTGGAACCCCCCCATCCCCTTCCCCCTCTCTCCTCACTTTTTGTCTTTTCCTTTCTCTTTCACCTCTGACTCCGTGTTTGGTCGGAATTACAAAGCATTCAAAAACAATAAAGTTTTAAGTATCAGGCGTGACATTAAAAGCAGACGCTTTGATGCTCCACCTGAGAGTAAATCTGTAAGGCTTGTTACATCAATTCTGTTTGCTTCACAGCCAGACAGGACACGGTAAAAAAAAAGAAGAAAAAAAAAGTTATTTCCAACTTAGATAACTTATCACAACCACAATTGTTCAAAAAGGAACAGGAAGAAGCATAGCTTATTTCATCATCTCTTCATCAATTTACTCATAGTTAAAAAAATTAAATTATCAGAATACAACAACTTCTGAACACAACACCACAATACAACAACTCAAAAGTATCAACATCAATTGCGACAACGTTAATATCACTACAGTACATATACAGATTAGTGATCCTCTTGTCTATATCTGGAAAAAATTAATTCTTTATATAATTTCTTAAATTGCACTATATTTAAATTTTCTTTGATTCTTTCCTCAAGACTATTCCATAAAATAACTCCACTAATTGAAGTCTAATGAGCTTTGAAAGAAAAGCGTCTGGACTTCTTTGAGTTGCTTGAAGACGTTTCACCTCTCATCCGAGAGGCTTCTTCAGTTCTAAGGTCAAATGGTGGAGAGTCCTAGATTTAAACCCAGTGGGAGTTCCCCCCCGAAGAGGTAACAAAAGACCCCCTGATGATCTTCTACATAAACACATGAGCCAAGGTGTGAGGGTGGGTGTGGGTCCTATTCAGCCAGAGTTTCAGGTGAGCTCATTGTGAAGCCTAGCCCCACCCTATCATGTGAATTCCTGAGGTCAGATGGCCCAGGATATGCGTGGGCGTTGAGGCATCTCGGAAGAGATCTCAAAACTGGATTATAGATTACAGACAGTTGGTGTCGTAAACCACCGCCTCTGTTCAA